ATACTCCTTCCCCCAGAAGGACACACATCAACATTTTTCTTTTTAACTGCAGGGAAGACGTTAAAATTGAGTGGAGTTTAATGTAAGAAAGTTTCTTCCTGGGATACCCATTGATTTGAGAACATTCTGAGCAAGAGGAGGGGCCTAAAAAGTCACTATACATAGGATAGAAATCTGCTAGGACTAGGACACGAGGCAGAGGGGACCATGAGCCAGGGGCACTGCAGGTCTGTGACCTTGGTTCCTGTCACCACCATTGGATAGATATTACTGTTCCACTATTTCCCAGGCATTTTCCTGGTGTCCTGTTTCTAAACACAGCACTGCACCCTAAAAGCAGGATGGAACAGCCTGGAAAGGGCTGAGATATAGAAACAGACCCTTCTACCGAGTGTAGCTGCTGTGTGCATCAGAGCTAAGTATGGATGGTGACATCCAGACCAGTAGATGGGCTGCAGGAACAGGGGATAGGGATGTTATGCTTGAGGGGTAGGTATGGTGTATATGTGTAATCAGGCATAACATATACCTATGTCACTTAATGCTCTCAACAACCCTAGAAGGTGGGTTGGTGTGGCCATAAAAGTGAACCTTAAAGGAGCAACTGGTGGAGATTCAGGCCATGGGTACCACCAATATACCAGGTAAATGGGTCAGCAGGTAGCAGGGCCCCATCGGCCACTGAGAAGGCCCCAGAAGATAGGACTCCCAACATTGGGGATGGTCCAACAAGAACAGACCAAGGCTCTCATCCTAAAGAGACAAATCTACCAAAATGTATTGTCAAGACTGGGCTTGGGCACAGGAATACATAAAATAGACATTATTAGAACTCAGGTATAATGCGGACAGTGAGATGTACTGGAGCTCCTGATCTATAGGATGATTGTGTAAATCTAAATTACAACCCAGGAATGGGGGTGTTACAATAATTATGCTAGGACAGCAGGATAAACCACAAATGTCCTTAGAACATGGGACATGTGATCACAAATATATATTATCTGGCCCTAGTGAATCCACAGGTGGAATTCAAGTAAATGCAGCTGAGAAAGGGAAAGAACGCAAAGGCTGAAAACTAAAGAAAATTCAACTTAGGAGAGACAGTGTTTCCTTTTATTCCTTTGGTTTCAATATTTGAAGAGATGATGTAAAAAATCAGAGATGCTAGCTAGCATACAATTTACTTTTTCGCTCTTAATTCATAGCCAGAGGCTACCATGAATGTTCCAGCAACAGCAATGAGACATGAAAACTCTCACGGAAAGTTATTCCTGAAGACTAAAGAGCAAGAGGGCAAATTTCCCTCAGCAGTAGGTTCAGCAGCAGGTTCAGCAGCAAGATGGAGACTAGTCCCAATGACAAACTCTTCCACCACCCTGCAAGTTTCAGCTTCAGAAATGGCCAAGCCACAGTTGCTGCAAGACATGGCTATGGGGTCAAAGCCAAAGGTCATGGCCTTTGACGCATTCAAAGTTTTAGAGACGTAAAAAAAAATGAAATCAGATGTTTATCACCAGAATGAATGATTACAACATCACACAAAAGGACTTTAATTATTAGTAGATTCATTTTCTAAGAGAAAGATCTCTATGAGAAATGTTCCCTGATCCCAAATGTTGTAATCAAAGAAGGAGTGGATCGTAGTCTCCAAATGCTGTCACCTTGTCTTCAGGTAGATAGTCTGATCTGGGCCTTTATTTGCAAATGCTGTGATACTATCCTCAGAAAGGAGGCAGAGTTTTATCAGTTTTATCAGAGATCTTTTAAAAAGACTTTTGAAGCAGTTTGACACTCCAGCCTCAACGCTGCAGTATTGTTCCTGAGATTCTAGGTGTTAACTTTGAATACTAACCTGGCACCGGGAAGACACGTTCATTAGGACAATTTCAGTAGCAGTACATTTAGAGGGAAGATGTTGAACGCAGTACAATGAGGCCTTGTACCCTCTTTAGCATTTCAGCGTACTTCAGGCTTGTGAAATCCCTCCACCCTCTCTCTGTACAGAGCTTCTCTTCAAAGTTTACACTGGCAGGGATTTGGAGGATTAAAAATCCCGTATCTAAGTACAGTAGGTCAGTCAGGCCTTAAGTTAATGAACCTCATGCTCTTAAGCAGAGTTTGACTGCAGCGGTCGAGCAAGAAATGTCAGAGTGAGGTGAAAGAAAATGGCCAAGAGGTTCTTTGGTCCACAAGCAAGTTTAGTCCTCCCTACAAATTCATAGGTCTTTTCCTTTCTTTTCTTCTCCTTTTTCTTTCCTTCTTTCTTTCTTTCTTTTTTTTTTTCTAACACTTTTCCTCTATCTAACACCCTATATATTTTACTTATACTTTATTGTTTATTATTATTCAGGAGGTCAGGATTCTGTGTGTTTTATACATTGCTATATTTCCCAGAGCCTGGTACATAACAGCTGTTCAATAACATTTGTTCAATGAATGAATGAGTGAGTTATGGAAGACTCCCTCACCAAATAGATGAGTCATTCATTCCAGTGTGCCCTTCAGATAGAAAGTAACCTATTGAGAAAAGGATTTCTCTAAAATCCTACTCTTCTACCCCTGTATGTGGAGTTTCCAGGCAGAAGAGCAATTCTTTTGAAAGAAAGGAATTTGAAGGAATATGCAGAAGCCATAGAATAAAATTGAGTGTGGAGCTAAGGAATAAGGAGAATAGGTGAAGTCACATGAATTTTGCCATTTAAAATGAAAAAAGCCAGACTAACGTCCAAAAATCAAACTATAAAAAATGTCATATTTCTGGGGTGCCTGAGTGGCTCAGTCGGTTGAGCATCTGACTCTTAATCTCTGCCCAGGTCTTGATCTCGGGGTCATGAGTTCAAGCCCCGCATTCAAAAAACAAAGTCATATTTCTCAAAATTCTGTAACCTCATAAGACCTGTGAGTTTTGCTCTGCATTTCTCTCTTTACAGGAATCATCCCTCAAACAAACAAACCAAAAGGGTTCATTGACAAGAAAAGTAGAAAGACAACAGCAAATGATGGATACTGTGTCCTGAATCAAAGGAAAAATCCTAAGAAATAGGGGAAACAAAGGGTTTTGGAAGAGAGAAGGAGAAAAGCATACTAGTGTGCCGTGGTTCCAAGAAGGAAGGCAAAAAACCCAGGAACTTCTGGAAGTAGCAACTTCCAGATACAGGCCAGCTCAGAGATACCAGAGAGAGGAGGAAGACACTGAGACCATCCAGGGCATGTGGCCAGAACAAAAAAGCATCCCAACTATGACCGAGAAAGTTGGCACCACCACCCTCTTCTCCATCTCCATCATCCCCCAACCCCACGCAGTTGCCTAATCCCCGCTGGTGTTTAAACTTCAGCGAGGGGCACCTGGGTGGCTCAGTTGGTTGAGTGTCTGCCTTTGGCTCAGGTCCTAATCCCAGGGTCCTGGGATCGAGCTGCGTGTTGGGCTCTCCACTCAGCGAGGAGCCTGCTTCTACCTCTCCCTCTGCCCCTCCCTCTGCTTGTGCTTGCTCCCTCTCGCTCTCTCTCAAAATAAATAATTACCTTAAAAAAAAAAAAAACCTTCAGTGAGAGTCTCAAATCAGGTTTTTCTTTCCTATCCCTATAGCATTTACCCTCGTTCAAAGCCTTGCCATTTTCCCATAGGAATGCAACGACTACCGTGTTACTCGGTCTCCAGGTTGATCTGCCTCCTGTCTATCTTTCCCTAGTCCCTGGGGAAAATTAGTCCATTCTGCTCTCCAGCATAAAACGGGTCAGAGATTCCTCCTCGGTCTATTTGAATGACATCCATTCACGTTATATTTTCAAACCATTCTCAAATGATTGCATGAATGTTTGCAATAAGGCCTTAGTGTGATTTCCATAAGTACAGAGACAATGCCTATCTTATTCACAGCTGAATCTCAAGCAACTAGCACAGTGCCTGTGCTCCATAAGTCTTTAATATGTTTTCCACAAATAAATAAAAATGGGAAAATTATGATATAAAACTATACAGAATGCAATCCTAGTAATGTAAAATATATTTATATATTTATATGTAAAATAAATACATATTATATAAATATATAATATCTATTTCAATATACAATTCATTTATAAATATAAAACATAAATTATTTCATATATATTAATGTAAAATATATGCACACAGGAAATAGCAGAAAAATACAGTGAAACATTTATTTTTTTAATATATGCTTTTTTTAACTTTCAAAATTTACTATAAAAGCTTTTTTCTCTCTCTCTAATACTGAGATACAAAAATATAAGCAAAAACAAAAGGGAGTAGAGCAAATGAGATATCTCTGACAAATGAGATAGCAGCATGGGGCAGAAGATAATATCCTTATCATGCCACATCGGGTTCTTCATCTTCCAGCCCTGATTCTTCCTCACATCCTGCTACTCCTCTGCCCCCCAGAAAAGTGAGAAGTGCCAAACAACACGATATTCTTCGCAATTACACTTGCTGTCTACTCTCTCACTCCACTATTTCAGTATTCCCAATGTGATAGTTCCACATTCTTGCCATCTTTTCACTTCTAGGGCAAAGCACAATTCCCGACATACAGAAGAACATATTAAATATTGATGGAGTAAAAATTAATTAATACATGGATAAGGCAGTGACATTGAATGCGAGGCCCATTTCTTTCATTTACTCTAAAATCATACTTACCTAATAGGGTTGTGTGAGGACTAAATGAGAAAATGCATATAAAATATGCCCGACAGATAATAAGCACTCAATAAACAAACAGTTATTAACCATTATCACTGAGACCACGTACAAGTCACTTTTTGCTCTCTTAGCCAAAATCATCTTAAATTGTGGATAGTAATTTCTGCCCTGCCCACTCATCCCCTTGAGATGAGAAAGAGCTTCAAGCAATTTGGGAACTATAAATCACTAGACAAACACATATTAATATCATGATGATGATGACAATGATCATATGATTATTTTCTTTCTGACTCTTGCCTAATACATTTCTCCTTTAAGTTCACATTACCTTTGCTGATGTTTCAAACCATCCTATGAAACCGTGCTCCTTGCAGAACTGGTCCATCTTGAGGCCATTGTTCATGAGCACGTCCTTCCCCTGGTCACATTTGTTGGCCAACAAAACCACGGAAACTGGTTTGCCATTAGGGAGACTTAACTTTGAGTCCAAATCACTTTTCCACTTTGTCACTGCTTCAAATGTAGCTGGCCTGGTGACATCGAAGACAATAAATGCACCCATAGCTTCTCGGTAATAGACCCTTGTCATGTTTCCAAATCTTTCTTGACCTATCACCAAAAAGAAATAGAAATCAAAACCTTATTACAATTGTAAATGAAATCACATATTGGAACCTCATGAGGCCTCCAGTGTGAGCAGATCACTCAGGAAAGTTCTCCAGTGCTCATCTTTAGAGTGAGCTGAATATACAATCATGCAGCTTTATTTTTGATCTTTGAGTCCAGAAGGGATTCATTCATTTAACAAGTATTTATTTACTAAAACTTCTGTAAGGTTCTAGAAGTGTGCTAGTACAGCATGCCACTAGTCAGACACAGCTACTTAGGTTTAATTAATTAAAATTAAATAGAGTTTACAATTCAGTTCCTCAGTCACACTAGCTACCTACATTTCGAATGTTTAGTAACCACGTGTGGCCAGTGGCTATAGGATTAGACGACTCTAGTATAGAACATTTCCATTATCCCTGAATGTTCTACTGGACAAAACTGCTCTAAGCACTTGGGATACAATGATTAAAACATGAAAATCTCTGCCATTATGGAGTTTACATTTTAATGGGTGATAAATTATAAATTATAAACATAATAAATATAACTAAATTATGTAGTATGTTAAAAGGCACCCACAGTCAATCCAATTAAGGGTAGTAGTAGCTAGCATTTATTTATATTTACTAACCATCAGAAATGCAGTTTACACAATCATGAAGGTACAATTACTATCCCCATTTTACAGTGAGAATGTTGGGACCTCAAGAGGCTAAGTAACTTGTTCAAATTATACAGATGGTGCGCTTTGGAAGTTGGAATTCAAATCTGAATTGAGATTCAAATCTTTTTGAATCCAGAGCCCATAGTCATTTGCCAACATTGAATATTCTCAACTACTAAATCATTAGTCTTAGACTATCTCTCCTCCAGGCTTATGTACCAAGAGTGTCCCACTCAACGCAACTAAACAGATAACAGATATTTATATCGATGCCAGTGTCCGGACTACATGCTTGGAATACAACAGTAAACTAGATGGCCTTAAGTACTCTACAATCTGTTGGATAAGAAAAGCCCTTGGACAGAGAAAGAGAGAGAGAGAGAAGCAGGCAGGCATTGGTCTTATTTAGACCAATCAGCTAGAATCACTTTTGCTCTGATTCTTAATTTTTTAAGTGAATGTTGGCCAGTTTGTTAAACACTCTAAGGTTAGCGTTCCTCATCTGCAAAATGGCAGCAATAATGTGTACCTCAGAGGGCTGTCATGTGGATGAAATGAATGAACATATGGAAAGCACCCGGCATGGGACTGTAGAACTAACTGGCCATTGAGATTTCCCTGCCTTTCTCCAGCATGTTAAAAATTATGAAAGACAATATGATGTCGGTAGTGAAATCAGAGTTCCAGAGCAGAATTTATGGCAAAAAATTACTGGGATTTCTGCCGATTAATAAAATGAAATGAATCCTTTTGCTTATAACTCTAGCCACTAGTAGTAGCTGAAGACAGGAGCTAATGAAGACTGGGTTTGTATTTTTTGAATCCAAAACTCCAGAAGTGTAGGACCACACAAAGGCCTTTTATTCTGATTTGGTCATTTATTTATGGCAAGAATCTTATAAAGTTATATAAATTAAAGCAAAGTGAAGTGTGTATTTAATAAGCCAACTTGTTGCAAAAAGAATAAAATCACGAAATTGGTGGGTATCTAAGAAAATACCAGGTCCAGGTCAACATCTCTAAGAACACTTCACACTAACTTTGAGCACAAGGTGTTGTGATGGTGAGTTTTAATTCACATTTTGTGGGCACCTGAGTGGCTCAATCAGTTAAGCGTCTGCCTTCGGCTCAGGTTGTAATCCCAGGATCCTGGAATCGAGCCCCACATTAGACTCCCTGCTCGGCAGGGAGCCTGCTTCTCCCTCTCCCTCTGCAGCTCCCCCTGCTTATTCTCACTGTCTCTCTCTCTCTCTGTCAAATAAATAAATCTTAAAAAAAAAAAAAAAAAAAAACCTCTTTGCAGGTTGTTATAGTCACATGGGCATGAGCATTGCAGATTGTGAGGACATGATCCATGAGCACTTAGTGAAAATGGACGCAGGTCAAGTCTGATGCCCTAGTGGTCCTAGTGGGTGAGCCTGTGTGTTCATACTTGTATCAGTGGAGAGAAGAGCATTCTGTAAGGGCCAGCACATGATGACCCTAAAACATTTCTTACACGGGTTTTACCACAGAAGCTTTTCTTTGTCCCCCCACAATCATCTAGCCGATGAAAGAAAGTGGCATAATACTCTTCATATGACACACAACCCACAGTTGAACTTTCATTTCTCCCAAATGAGTTTTAAATTTCTTTTATTTCCTTTCCTTTCTTGGTTCCTAATACAAACAGTGATCCCCTTTGATACTGCTCAGGATGGCCATGACATTTCAGGAAGATAGGGGGAAAAAAAGCCCTCTGTGATCATTCAGGACTCTGAAAGGCCTTTGGGCTTTGTGCAGTTGTCTTATGATCCCTTGCAGGAACTAATCAGATGAAAGGCAAAGTCATGGGTTATTCAATAATCTGCTTGTCCAGAGGTTTTCATAGTAGAGTAAGGAGGTCCTCAAGAAGAAAGATTTTTACAGTTCAAATATATGGCAAAGGGTCGTTTTTAAGACTATGCAAAAAAGCTATGTATAGGCTTAACACCTTTGTAGGAATTCAAAAAGGACAATCTGTGTGTTTGTGTGTATGTGTCTGTGTGTGTTTGAGTTTGTGAGGGTAAGTGTGCTAGATCAGGAACAAGGAGAAAAAAAGTGATCTTTGTATATTAAGGTCACTGGTCCTGCAGACTTGAAAAGTTTGTATATCCGGTGTTCCGGCGAGAGGTCACATTCAGACAAGGGCATTTCCAGTGCTCACATTTTATCCTTCCTTTGTCAGCTGATAGCTCTCTCTGCTGTTTCTTATTAAAAGAATGAGAACCATGTGACTTTTCATGAGTGCCTACATATGGGCAATGTAGAGACCTGATGAATTCATCATAGGTAATTTACTTCAAACAAACAAACAAAAAAACATAGTTCAAAAATTCCCAGTGGGCTTAGATCACTCATTCAACACACATTTACTGAATAGCTAATATGGTCCAGGCTCTGTGTTTTGTGCTGCAAATACATAGTTTTTTGCCCCTGAGGAACTTCTAAACTAAGACGTGTCATACTGGATGCCTGCACCGAAAATGATCCAATTCACCATATGTAGGCTTCCATTTCTCTTAGACTCTACACACACATCCATGGCCATGTCAATGTGACTCATGATTCAGTGTCCAGCTTCCAGGAAAGTTAAATGATAAAGCAATGAACCGAATCACAAAAGTTAATACAAGCTGCAGTAATCATTTGGAAAATCTTGCTGCAGAAGGCAATAAATTGAACAGCCAGAAGACATGGGTCTTTGTCTTAATCACTGGTTACCAGTGCAGCCTTAGACAAATGCATTTCTCTTTTTGAGACTCAGTTTCCTCACCTGTAAAATGAATTTGTTCTGGCTGACCTCTAAGGTCCCTTCCTGCTTTCCTGCTTCTAGAGTTAAAATATTCCTAGTAAATCAATGCTTGGTTTCTCTCCCAACAGCCTTAAATGGTCCACTTGGTGTCACAGACTCAGCTAAAAATATACAGAGGCAATACAGTCATAATGTGTATTTAATGATATTTTCACTTGGTAATTAGTACTCTAGAGATGTTCTCAGTGGGCATAACCAAGCCGGAAATCCTCTACATAGGCATAGAAACAACAGGAGGAAGCGAGTTGGTGTTCTGTTAACCTGGGCACATTCTTTTACCACTCCACCACTAACCTAATAGCTCTGTGAGCTCAGTGAGGTAGCATTCTGAACCTCAGTTTTCCTCATTGGTAAAATAGTGGTTTGGATACCTGAAACTAAATTCATTACTGCCTCTGGGAAGCCCTCTAATCATCCTCCTCGGATGCAGGCATCCTGCTCTTCACCTGCTATGCCCCGGTGTTCCCTCCAGTTCTTAGCATCACTAGTAACACTGCCCCCCAGAGTGGTAACTTCAAGTCATCTTCTGACTCTTTCCTCACCCCTCTGCCTAAAGGGTCTCCAACATTCTACCAATGCTTCTGTTTCTGAAGCAGGTCCTGATCCCCCCCATCAGCGCTGCTACTGCTCCCATTCAGGCCCTCACCGGGAGCCCTGACAGCTTCCTAACTGAGGCTCTCAAGATCTCAGGTCTCGTCACTCCTGCTATCCTTTAAAATAAATATAAACACAGGTCTTCAGACATTCTGGCAGCATAAGAGATCACTAGATGGGCATCCATCAGAAGGAAATGAAATTACCATCTTCAAGAGCTGTCTGCACCCCCATGTTCACTGAAGCATTGTTCATAAGAAGTGAGACATGGAAACCTCTTAAGTGTCCATCAGTGAAGGAATGAATAAAGCAAATGTAGTGTATACATAGAGTGGAATATTATCAGCCATGGAAAAGAAGGAAATCCTGCCTTTTGCAACAACTTGGGCAAAAGCAATGACAGCATTATACTAGGTGAATTAAGTCAGAGAAAAAAATACTGTATGATCTCACTTATATGTGGAATCCAAAAAAGCCAAACTTGTAGGGGCACCTGGGTGGCTCAGTCGTTTAAGCATCTGACTCTTGATTTCAGTTCAGGTCATGAGATCGAGCCCCACATTGGGCTCCAGGATGGGCATGGAGCCTGCTTGGGATTCTCTCTCTCCCTCTCCTTCTGCCCCTCCTCGCCTACCCCCCACCACTCATCTGTTCTCTCTCTAAAAAAAAAAAAGAAAAAAGCCAAACTTGTAAAACAGAGAGTAGAAAGGCAGTTGCCAGGACTGGGAGTAGAAGATACAGGGAGATGTTGGCCAAAGGGTATAAACTTCCAGTTATAAGATAAATAAGTTCTGGAGATCTAATGCACAGTATGGTGATTATATACTTGCAAGCTTCTAAGAGAGTAGCTCTTAAGTATTCTCACCACATACCAGAAAAATGCTAATTATGTGAGGTGATGGAGGTGTTCATCCTACTGTGGTAATCATTTTGAAATATATAAGTATATTAAACCATCATGTTGTACAGCTTAAATCTACACAATGTTAATATGCCAATTATATCTCAATAAAGCTGTAAAGAAAAATCCTCTTAGGTATTTAGAGAATACCCATTCCTGGGCCCTACTCTTCAGAGATTCTTACTCTTCTAGTTTTGTGTGGGGCCCAGGAATCTGTTTTTAAGCACTCCCTAGGTGAAGTCTTAAAACTCTATTTCTATCAGAATCCACTTTCAAAATGTAAACATTACCAGTATGCTCTGCCTTCAATGACTCTTACATGCTTAGAAACAGACACCTTTATTAACACTGCACACAAGGAGACTTTGGCTCCAACCACCTTTCCAAACTCCTCCTGTCACTTCTTTCAACGCACTCCATGGCCAAGCCACACGGGAGTACTTATTCTTTCCAAAACACATCCTCCATTTCTCCCTGATTTTCTTGCCCTTTCATACCTCTGCTCTCAAAGTCTGAATTCTTTCCCCATCTTTCCTCCCACTCTGCTCAGTGAAATCCTAAGCATCTTACAATTGTGCCCTGAAATGTCATTATATTGGGGCAACGTTCCCTGGCCTCCCAGCTGAAACATGACTCCTTCTTGTGACCCTACAGCATTTTCTTTATCCTACACTATTCACCTTTATCATGCTATATATCTACGCTTCAGTCTCCACCATAGCACTGTAAAATACTGAAGAGCAAGTTGACTATGGGTATATATACATATATTTATTTATACATACACTCTTAAGCAGGCTCCACACTCAGTGCGGAGCCTGACATGGGGCTTCAAGACCCTGAGATCATGACCTGAACGGAAATCAAGAGTCAGATGGGGCACCTGGGTGGCTCAGTTGGTTAAGCGTTTGCCTTGGGCTCAGGTCATGATCCCAGCATTCTGGAATCAAATCCTGCATGGAGTCCCGCATCTAGTCCTGCATCAGGCTCCCTGTTCAGTGGGGAGTCTGCTTCTCTTTCTGCCCCTCCCCTCTGCTCATCCATGCATGCGTGCACTCTCTTTCTCAAATAAATAAATAAAAATTAAAAAAAAAAAAGTCAGATGCTTACCTGACTGAGCCATCCTGGCACCCTGATCATATTTTAATGTTGCAAATCTGAGGCCTGTTCTCTACTTGTATGATATAGTAAAAACTCAAGATACTATTGTAGAAATAAGCTGAAATTAAAATTATTTTCCTCTAAAATACATCACCGTGTATTCATGAACTAGTGCTATGTACTAAGCACTAACTCTATATTATACTCTCATTTCCAGTAAATGATCAATAGTGGAGAAAATTAACATTATTCTAACAGGGTTATGTACATATCTGTTGCAACAAGTTTCAGACTGGATTATGTTTTTGTTATCATTCTCATCTTCTTAAGAAATAATCGTGGTGTGTGTGTGTGTATATATATACACACACATATATATATATACACACATATATACACACACACACACAATGGAATATTATGCAGCCATCAAAAAAATGAAATCTTTCCATTTGCAATGAGGTATTATGCTGAGCAAAATAAGTCAATCAGAGAAAGACATGTATCATATGATCTCACTGATATGAGGAATTCTTAACCTCAGGAAACAAACTGACGGTTGCTGAAGTGGTGGGGGTGGGAGGGATGGGGTGG